TTGCACTTTAGAGACCACAATCTTATAGCGAGTTTACGCAAAGCTTTCTCAGAATAACCTGTATAGCGAATCGAACCAGATGTAGACGCTGGGCTGCAAAAAGTAAAGTAAAGTAAAGTAAAGTAAAGTAATCTCACATACGTAGATAGTAGCGTTTGTGACAGGAAACAACAAATAATGAAAGAAATTCTCTGAAAAGGACAGATTCTTAAAGAAGAAAACAAGATTTTAGAATCAAGTGACACAAGCTTGGTCATGCTGTATACAAATCAGGCCCAGGTTTTTCGAAAGATGGATAACGTTAGCCACTAGACAAATCACTATCCAGTGGATAGCGTGGTTTGTTTTGTTAACACTTATTCTCTGGATAGCGATTTATCCCTCTGATAGCATTATCCAGCCTTCGAACAATTGAGGCCAGATTGATAGGGTTTAGGTGTCACTTAAAGATCAATCTTGGGATTGTTAATTTTAGGTTCCAACCAGGTTGGAAAAGGACAAATTGAGAGAATATGCACAATTAGATGAAAGATACCAGGTATGTACCCTTCAATTTCAACAAAATGCTGAGACCAAGCTCTGGTATCACTTACAAGTGAATATATGAAAGATCATATATTTGAACTGCGGAGAAAGATATGAAGAAATGATTGGTCATCGCAGTTATGCACACACCTTAAGTAGTTGTGAGATTAAAGCCTGAAAAAATTCAGGCTTGAATGGGATGCGAACCCATGACTTCTGCGATACCGCTTCTTCGACTCTGAATGAATATGGAAGGTTTTTTGAATTTCCTGAAGAGACCATCATATCGTGTTCATTTGAAATGATCTGATTTTCTCTCTGTAAGTATAACATTTACTAGCTTTTAGCAGTCTAGTGAAACATCTTTTCCCCTCTCAGATAGCAAAGCTGACTCATGCCATCTCAGTGTTCACAGAAGGGATTTTGATGATGAAAACAACTTTAGTGGGAATTATAAAGGTGAGAAGATCAATGGACCACTTCTGACTTCGAAAAGTGGAGACCTAAGAGAGATGTTTTCACTTATGGAAACCTTAATGGTCTAGTTCTGTTACATAACTATATAATTCGCCTGAAGTAATAAAAAGAGTTTTAGTGTCAAATTAAAAAGGTCTGGCAGACTTCTTCAAAATCTGTACATGTAGCTGTGCCTCGGAAAAGTCTTTAAAATTAGCTTACAATTTGTTCTCCCTCTCCTTGCACCGTTTTGTTGAAGTAACACGTGTTATTTCCACTGTCGACAGATTGATCCAAAGCAGCTGTTAGAGGATGGGATAAGAAAGGAGTTGGTCAGACAGGTAGCATCTGCCTTGCACATGGGCCTCACCTTCAGTCCAAAAGCTAAGGTACGCTGTACTGGGATTCAAACAGCACTTTGAAGGTGGATTCCAATGTTGTCTGTTTTTACATGCGTAAATGCACCCACGTAAAATACGTGAAATAAATTTATGGAGGATTGGGGCAAAAGAAGTTAAATTGCGTTCAACGTCTTTCCCAGACACCATAAATCTCTTTGTTTGCTCTCCTTCAAGCGCGTGAATCTACGCGACAGTAGAAATCCATCTCAAATGTATGTTCAGAAAATCATTATAGTAGATTCAAACTTCATGTAAGATGCTGTCAGGTCCGCAATCCTGCAACTGTTGGACATAAAACATCTCTACCCCCTCCGCCCTTTCTGAGCCATACACGTTTTATTTCTTTTCATCTAAACACTGCAAACTTATCTCCAAACATTACCACCAGGCTTGGGTTGTTCGAAAAGGGGATAACGCTATCCACCGGATAAATCACTATCCAGTGGATAGCGTGGTTTGTTTTGTTAACGCTTGTGCACTGGATAGCGATTTATCCGGTGGATAGCGTTGTTCAGCCTTTAAACGACTGGGACCAGAGCATTAGACGTCGCCTGTGGAAACAGCCTAGGGCGTCATAAATATCAAATGAAGTAATTAAGGACAGGCATATGATTGGGCGGAAAAATTGATCCCGGATTTTGTTTGTTCTGACAGCAATCTGAGCTTAGTATAAGGCTGAAAGAGCTCGGTGGAAGAATGGATGGGTTCCGCCGCTCCTTTGAGTACATCCAAGATTACATCAACATTTATGGCCTGAAAATCTGGCAAGAGGAAGTTTCTAGGATTATTAATTACAACGTGGAACAGGAATGCAACAGCTTTCTGAGAGAAAAGGTTTGTGTTGAGTTGCGATGTGTTGTTCTCTCGAATAGACCTTTCAAAAATTACCATCAACAAAAACGGCAAAAACAACAACAGCAGGGCTGAAATGTAAGGACTTGCAAGGATTTTTTCGAAGTAAACGTACTGCACAGCAAACATTCGAAAAAGTAGATGTAGTTTGGGGGCAAAACTCGTATAGAAGCTCTTTTTGATTTTACTGTCAATTATAAAATGGATTGTGAGCTTTTGTTGCAGATAAAAAGTGCCACAATGATTTCAAAACAAAATAATAATCAAAACTTAAGAAAGACGATAAAGTTTTTGCGACGCGAAAATTTGATGTCGTGAAAATTATGTCAAATGTTAAACTAACATCGACTTTTATTTGCATGTAACAAAGGTACAGTGTTCTTTTATGATAATCTACGTCTGTCTTGTTAGGTTCATGATTGGCAGTCTGTCTATCAATCGACCACAATTCCTATACCGAAGTTTCCCCCTGTGGATGAATCGGTGAATTTCATTGGACGACTAGCGAGGGAGATTCTACGAATAACAGACACCAGGTAAGAGATTTATTTATGCAGTTTTTGGTCTTCGTTAATCAAGGGTCTTGGCTTTTCGGAAAGCTCTGAGCCAGCTTGTTTGGTTGGTACTTGTAGCAATGCTACATTTACAACGAGATATTATCTTATTAACTGCAGGACCACGTGTTACATTGATCAGATGGGAGCCTGGTACGACAGTAGAACCAAACAAGAGGTCATGAATTTACTGATTCTAAAACAGCTCCAGCAGGCTGTTGGTTCATTTGGACTGACTGGATTAGACAAGTTGCTGTCATTCATGATCGTCAAGGAATTGCAGGTTTGGAAATTGTTTGTCTACGTAATATAGTTAAACACGAGAGACTGTGTAAACTTCACCATATTTCCAAACCCCGAGAGGAGAGTTAAAGATACGACGTAATGCAGTATTTTTAACGAGCCTTGAGGTGTTTAGAAATGTGCTGAAACCCTGCCCCGAGTGTTTGATATACCTCCTCAATCAAAGTGACTAAAACTAAGGAGAAAACGGAGAAATAAATCGTAAAAATCTGTACGAATTAAGATCAGATATCCAAACACCGTAATGATTGATAACGTAATGATTTCCTTTGTTTAACCTTGTTTGAAAAAGTAAATATACAGTTCAAGTTAAGAGTTATGTTGAAACACATGCATGTTTCTGTGTCTTTGTTTACGGATCTGTGCTAATCTCGGCATTGTTTTGTTTCTGTCCCCAGAAATTCCAGGGGCTTCTCAGAGGAGCACTTAAAGACAAACTTGTGGCGGACACTTTAGTCCCTCTTTCCAAACAGCTTACACCTGTCAAGAGTCTCATTGGTTGGTATTTCTTGTATGGAACACTCTTATCCTTGCACAAGAGATGGAACCAGAATTTCTCCCGTTTCCTCAACTTGGTTATAAATCGCGTTCGTATATTCGGTGAGGCGCGGTGGCCTCATGGTTAGTGCGCTCGGCTCCGGATCCAGGGGAACGAGCCCTGGCGTGTATCATTGTGTTTTGTTCTTGGGCGAGACACGTTGGTCTCACAGTGCCTCTCTGCACCCAGATGTATAAATGGGAACCACCGCATTGTTGAGCAACCTGGAAAAAGTTCTGGGAGATAAACTGCGATTGTATAGAGTCTCATCTAAGTGAAAAATTAAGAGCTTTCCTCATGGTTGCTCTATGATATGAAAATTAAAGAAGAGCAGTAATTCTGAGAAGCCATGAAGCTCATCGGTAACAGCACACTTCCAAGATGTCAACATTTGAATACAACTGACAAAATCCTGTGTCTTGAATTATTGGAGACGTTTACCCTTAACAGCAAACGACAACAATTAAACTTTTGCCTTCTTTCGTTAGCAGTTTGTACGCTTGTTGTAGTCAAATGTCGACATCATACAAGTCGCCTATTGCGCATGTGTAGTCTGTGATCATGACAAACTTAGTAGGTCAGACAGTGCTTACAAGTAAAATCTTTAGCGCATGTCTTAAATGTGTGTATTCTTTCTCCATTTAGCTTCACCCTATAGGGTGTATCCTCCAGTTACCCAAAAGCTGGCTCGATTGTGGACTCAGTACTGTGAGGTGATCATGAAGGTAAAGTATGTCCGTCTATTCTTTGTTGTTTATGCCAACGTACCTCGGCTTATGCTATTTTTCATCGTTTAGGTGGGACAGATGCAGCTCATTAGAAGACAGATTGCCAATGAACTGAACTGCTCTTGCAAGTTTGATTCAGAGGTTCTTCATAATGCTCTAGAGACTTTTAACAAGTAAGAATGGTTTTGTTCCTTACAGTGGTGCTCTCTATAGCCGTCTAACAATTACTAGGCTTCATATTTTGCAATACGCCTTTTTGTAATATTATTGCTGCAATAAAAAGAGAGAAAAGAAATACGCCTTTTTGCCGTGTTCGTCGTCAACCAGAAGTTGACTAAGTTCTGAAAGTGTAGATTATTTTTAATTTATTTGTCAGCCCGGTCGAACAAATATATTCATTCATCAACTTTGGCTTCAAAAAGTGATGCGCTCTATTTTACTCGAGAATAGGACAAGCTTACTGTGAAAGTCATACGAAATAGAGAGCTCTGCTGTATCTTTCCTTATGTTTCAATCACTGATCTTGCTGAAATGAAAAGGTTGTGATGTGCAAGTTTTCCGTTTACCGTCACGACTCCAAATTTACTAAATGCTACTTGCTACCTGAGAAAAATCAACAACAGCTTTGTTTAGATAGAGTAGCAGTTCTTTCTTAAACTGGAATTAACCTCTGTCTTTTTCTTTCATCAATTCTACTACAGCGCACTTTTGCGCGATGTCGAGGCTCACTACCAGGATCCCACTCGGCCATATCCCAAAGAAGAGAACCCGTTGATGTTTGAACTGACGTCATATCTTGAATGGGCTGGAATCCACAACCCCCTGACTAAGGTCAGGCTTTTATTTTGCTCTCAAGTCATATTGTAATTGTTTTCTTTTCTTTCTTTTTTCATCCCCTGCGTGATGTAGTTGTTCTTCAGTTTTGTACTACAAGGGATTTTGTGATTTTTTTTACAGATCTATATCACCACAAAGAAGTATCCGTATTTTGCGTTGCTGAATTTTCTGTGCGTGACTGCTCAACTGTCGAAGCTGGTGTACGTCAAGAGTGTTGGTAAGAACTGAGTTAGCCAATGACCACTTCATTTCAACAGAAGGCTTTGTATTCAAAGTTGTGGCTTTGATGTCGCAGTTGTTCAAAGGGTGGTAGAGCCTTCCACCGGAGAAATCAGTACCTAATAGATATAAGTGTCAGTAAAACCAACAAAGCTGTACAATGAGTAATGATTTAGTTATGAAACCGATCAGTGGCGTTCTACATCCTTCGAAAAACCTGGGACAGATGCCAGATTACACTCGTAAATGCAAATGAACGACTTACAGTCTTTTGACTTGATATTGGAGGACAACGCAACAAATTTTCTCTCTGGGACCATCATGCTCTGAAACAAGTTGCAACTTTCTTTGTTTATCCTATTGAATGAAAGACTTTATTTAAGTGTCAATGGTATTTATAATTGGGGACACTATTTACATTTTAAAATATACCTTAGCTACATAAAGTCAACATTATTGTAATTTACCTTTCAAGACAGTTAGATGAATGGATGCTAAGCGTTGAGATGTTTCAGAACTTGCTTTTCAAAGGAGGGACTAAAACGATTCAAACACTAGTTTTTTCCATGCTTTCTTTGAAGAGTAGATTTAAAAAGCACGGGTTTGTTTTATTTACTTGCCATGCCTTTGCGTTTTCCTTCCCAAAGTGGGATGTGAGCCTGCTGTATTGTTCTATCACTCAGTTGGGGGATCCTCGTTACTTATCTGAAGAGTGTCCGATACTTATTATCCAATCCAAACTATTGCGAAGACTCTCGAGTACTGCGAAAATTTTCACACCATTATGACGCAGTGAGCAATATAGGGGAGAGACCCCAAGGCTTCGTCGATTCTCGTAGGCGTGTTTTCACCGTCATTTGGCATTTGATTTTTCGCCTGTACCCAGCTAATCCAGTTTATACCTGTCCTCTTGCTCCAGGCACAATGGTAGCAAGGCGTCCAACCGATCAAATCGACAGCGCGCCATTTGTTGTGGGAATGATAACAGTCCTTAAACAGTTCCATTCGGAGTACACGGAACAATTCTTGGCTTGCTGTGGACAGTACGTCAGGTCCCTTATAGAAGCTTCTGCTACTAAGTAAGTACGGAACCTTGCCACCCTCGAACAATCCTCAAATTCCATCTTATTATTATCCAGGAATGGCAGGGATAACCTGAACGTTGTTTTTCTCTTTTTTGTCGTCATCAGTTAGTTATTCCGCTTTCGAAGACTCATGACTCGAGTGACATTCGTGCTTCTATTTTGAGAATAATTTAATTATCTTATCTGTTGATTCAGTTTGTCTACATGTACTTATATATCTAGATGTCTCTTTTTGTCGGTCTGTCTGTCTGTCTGTCGGTCTGTCTGTTTTACCAATCTGTCAGTCTTTTTGTCGATCTGTTTGTTTATTAATTTATTTTGTTTCTTCATGTAGTTCTTTATTCATACAGCATTCAGACATTCGTTCGTTCGATTGATCAACTGTTCGTTTTCGTTTTTTCGTTCGTTAGTTTGTTCGGTAGTTTGATAATTGGTTATTTCGTTCGCTTCTTCGTCTATTCATTGATTCACATATATTTCAGTGTAAGGAGCCAGGAGATCCCAGCAGAAGTTGTAAACCTGTTGGTTTTCATGGAAGACTTTATCATGTACAGTGAGCTTCCAAGAAAGGTCAGTTTTGCTTTGCCTTGTTTTTACTCCAAATAACAACCACCGTTGTTGGATTACAGGAAAACAAACACTTTAGAACACTACATTTCCTCTGTAGAGCTTGGCCAATCATAAATCAGTTGTGATCTTTACGCAACGCAATTCGTGCCGTGCATGGGAAGACCCAAGGACGTCGTGCGTGACAGGGTCTCTGACAGAAATCGTATTTCAATTCCTCGTACTTGCAGTTGTTTGTCTTTGTGTTTCGGTGTGGTAATATGTTTTCTGTACATAGATACAGTGAAACGTTCTGAGAAACGTACTAAAACGTGAGCGGAAATGTTTGTATTTCAATTAGTGAAATTGCCAGAATAAAGTGCAAGCTTCAAAAATAATTTGTCTCTAAGGATTACATTATCACGGAAACGTTACTGTTTCATAAGGTGGCAAAATAACGAAACCTAAGTTTGACGCCTTCTTCCAAAAAAAATCCTAACATTACATCAAGGAGCAAGAACTATAGTTAATAGAGTTGTTTTAGCCATGCTGTTTCCTATCTCAATGGATACTTTGATTTACTTTCAGGTTGTTGAGGCTCACATTCCAAGCTACATTTTTGATCAGTTTCGAGTTCATCTCACGTAGCATTTCAACTCAACGTCAAAGAAGTTTCTAAGACTTTCAGTCTACAGTATATAGAATATTAGAATTTAGTTCAAATCAATTTTCTAGTGACTTCTAAAAGGTGAGTAATCGTGTGAAAAATATGACATGTAACGGGTGGCAAGCCCGGAAAAAGCAACACATGACAGCTGAAAAGCGCGGGATAGTCGTTCAAGGTCGATTGACTTTTACAATAACTGTCTAATTTCTCGCGCGCTGATTGGCTCATTGTTATCATCAATAAGAGTACAGACGGATAAAATTTTAATTTATGCAAGCTTTCAAG